TCATTAACCCATTGTCTTAAGGTTTTGGATAAAGAGTGATGTAGATCCCTTATATAGTTGTCTCATATAGACCCAACTCTGATATCAGAGCTGATTGTTTGTCTTGGTGACCGACAATCTCCTCCTCGATAGATCCAATAAACATACATTTAGTGTACACAAATTCTAACAAAATATAAACCAATATCATAAACTAGTTTTGATCATAATATAAAAAATAAGTAAAAAGAGTGGCCTCAAGTTGTCTCTCAATATTTTGAGTAACAGACTTCATATTTGTTCTTCATGTGACCTACCAATATTCTTTAACCTACCAACTACCTTCCCACCAACCTACTTTGACCCTCTACCACAATTTTCAAACAAGTTATAGGATACAGGCACAAGTCAGAATATCTTTTCTTTGCCTTTAAAACTTTCATATTATATCCTAAACTCTATTACCATACCTAGCTGACATTAGTAGATTAAATTGTTTTTAAGGTGATTAATTAGTAGATTATGTTGTGCAAATGCCACAGTAATCCAATTGCTACAGAATGTCCAAACATGCCCTAGTGTCTACCTCACTATTTGAGTTCACATACAACTATGGATATTTCTCTCTGAACGATATATTTGCTAACCGTATATATCCTTTTTCTAGATACTATTTCCCTTAGTAGATTTAATTAAACCAATCACTCCACTTTCCTTCCCGATACCTTCCTAATATCCCTTCACCATAATCACTCATCACAACTATAAATTTTATCTTGATTCTTTATTCATTTTCATTATATTTATATTTCCAAAAAAAAAAGTACAATTGTAAAGTAAATTTTCTTTACAAAGTATATAAAAGATAATTTTGAGGTTAATCAAATACTAAAATTAAATCAATTGCAAAGAGAAAAATTAAGAACTTCCATATTAGGAATGTTGATTTGAATATTTGTGAATCATTTTCCTCTTTAAATGGGTAAATCTTTATATGCGAGAATCTACTAACACTTAAAAACTAGTTAACTTAAAAACTAGTTAAGTAATTGGAACTGGGTATTGAGTGAAATTGTAGTAAGCCACTAGAGGGTCTTTCTTATTACTACTTCTAAAATTCTGAAAATTTTTATAGTATATTCTTGTATTATTGTAAGAACAATAGACATCAATTAATGTTTGTTGTAAATGCAACAGACGTTAATTTACGTCTATTCAAAGTCAACATACGACAATTTAACGTCTTTCGCTATGACGTTGGACATTTAATAGATGTCAAAAGTCTAAAATAACAAACATTAAAATCTATTTTTTTGTTAGCGATTTAATTATTTATTATCATACATATAAATTAAACTTTGATTTGCTTTTTATGTTAGAAAACAAAACAATACAAGCTTCAAGTTGCTGCTAAAATAAGAAGGAACCAACTTGATATATACTTGGATGAGTCAACACTGGATGTTGATATTATTGAACATATGGATGTTCTTGAATGGTAAAAGAGTCAAAGTCAACATTTTTCAGATTTGTTAGTTAGAACTATTGATTTGCTAAGTGTTCCAATTACTACAGTTATATTTGAATATGCTTTCTGTAATTGTTTAAGGATTTTGAATAATTATAGATGTCGTCTATTGGTAAAAAATGTTGAAGCAATAATTTGTACTTCCAACTAGAAACATGAGTTTCGTGATTATGGTAACTTATTTAATTTAAATTTTATTTTATTTTAGTTTTCATAAATAATTTTTATATTTTAACTTTCATTTCTTCAATTCAATTCCATGTGGTATTAAGATGATTATGTTGATGAAGATGGAAGAGTAGAGGGGAGTTGTTCTGATGGTGTATCTAATAACTTTGAAAAGGAAAGTGATGAAGATTGAACGAAGAATGATGATGGAAGTTTTTGTATTGAATACTTTGTTATGTATTAATTAATTTATACCTTTGTTGACAATGCATTAGATTAGATCATGATGGTTGACAAATTAATTTTTTTTAATGTTACAAAATGTATAAAGTTTTTGTATGATACAAGTAGTGAGTACAAAGTATTGGAACTAGGCTTGCATGTAAGTAAAATATCTCAAATTGGGCTTAAGCTACCAAATCAGAAAAAAAAATCAAATTTTACAAGCTAGTCCGCTAGTCTGTCCTTCTGCTGGCTAGATTGTAAGTTTCAACCCGTTTCTAATTGGCGGATCAACCTTACTTAACAAGTTTCAAAAGTTGTTTTAAAAATTTTCCATCAACCAATAATATAATCAAATTATAGTATATAAATAGATGTAAAATTAATGTGAGCTTCCCTCACAAGATACCTTTATAAAGTTGAATTAAATTATATATAAAAATAATAGGGCTAAAATTTATATATTTATTTAAATATCAACAATAATCTTAATATCAAATATGAAATTTGAATCTATTGTAAACTAAAGAAGTCTTGCAACCAAGAAGCTTGGTATAATATGTGGGAAAAGGAATTATAGGCCATCGAAGTCGATGTTATATCCTATTTGTATATCTATATCGAGCACTAATGATGCGAGCTAAATATATAAAAAATGAACTCCTGATAAAAATTGAAAAAAAGGTTGCAATATAAATTAGAATTAAATTAAGAAATGAATACATGAAAAGTTGAAGACAAAGCTAACGAATGAAAAAGTTATCCATGTATTTGGTTTAGGCTTTAATAATTAAAAATGATTTGTGAATGATTAAAAAATGGAGTTTAGAAAGAGGAAGTTAACTTTAACAGTGCAGCGCGAATGAGAGGTAGACTTATATTACATCCTTGCTTAATTGTCTGTGCTAGCTGTTGTTGCCGAGAGAGATATCTTAAAAAGAAGGTGCATTCATAGCATTTCATGCCCTCTGTGTGGCCCAAACAATCAATCACATTCAATGCTTTCGCATCCTGGGGAACAACCAACCAACAATGCTGTGGGAGTGGGGACTACCCACAAAAATTTAATTCAATCTAATTTAATTAATCTAATTTAATTAATCTGATTTAATTAATCTAATTTGATTTAATTTAACTATTGGGCCTTCCTTCTTCAACATCAAAACAAAAAGGCTTCAATCTTATCACCCACGTGTGGCTCAAGGCCCACATTATACATCGCCATCAAAATTAAATACATCGCTCGTGTGTGTTTTCATAATACGCCACATAGCCACGCTACCTGCCACTACTATGCTTCCAAATTAAACATTACATTACTTCTTTAATCACCGCCTTTTCCAATTCCACAACCCTCTTTCTTCCTGTACTGATATTTCACTTTTCGATCTCACCATTGTAATTTCTATGTGAGGAACCGATTCCATTTTCCATGCCATGTATATATATATATATATATATATATATATATTGCTATGCCTCTTTGCATGCGAAGGGAAATGCATGAACTGCTGGGTCGAGAAAAGGATGCCCTGTGATTTCGTTTTAAAAAATGGTTCTGCATGTAACGTCAGGCTTTTGAATATCTCTGTTCGAATTGTTTAACCTTTTTGCTAGCAAGCCTAACATATCTATGTTGCATGCGTGAATGTGAGTAGGTTTTGGAGAGCTTCCATTACGCTTTAACTTGTTGCGTGGTCCAAGCAATAACTGGCTTCTGTTGTGTGTAGCTTTTTCTTGAAGGCGCACAAATAAATGTGAAGAAAGGGAACTGCTGATGAACCCTAATATCCTCTCTGTTGGTGGGACTTGGATACATCTATCATTGATCTACATAGATTTTTCACGTAGTATCCAACTATAATAAATACACATAAGCAACCAATGTTGTCAAATGCTATAAATTAAGATTTGTAAATAGTTTGCGTATAACGATATACTGATTATAATCACCAAAAAAATAATACTACACGCTTGTATAATTTTATAAAGTAACATGTAAAAATGTATAGTTATCGAGTGAGTGGCCATCTAAATGGCCATTAATCAAAGCAATAAAATTTGACGTCCTTTTACTATATCATTTTTTTTAACTCTATAAAGTAGCTTATTCACTTACTGTGTTTGGTATTTCATATCAGATACGTCTTCAGTGTCACAGATACACTTAATTGGTGTAAACTTCATCATATTGTTTTAATAAACTTTGTTGTTCCTTCCCTCTGAAAATTTACCACGACATTCAAAGTATTTTTTTTTAAACCTTAATGGTCAAATCCCATCTTTTTAAACACCCGATTTAATATTAAATCAATTTGGAATAAAATCTGGAATTGCATAAATTAAAACCAAAATCGGATATTTGTTATGCGTATAGATCGATTTATATAATTAAATAGACATATTTGATTTTGATGAGGATTAGGGTTGGATTACTAGGCGGCATATATATGAAATGAAGATGCATTGTTGAGAATTGACCTAATCCACTGAAATTTCATTGAATGCTATATATTGTAGATTAAGCGTATATTATTTATATAAGTAATGTTAAAAAGGAAATTTCAGTTGGAGAATGTAGAGATAGGATGAACTGGGAGGAAGGAAGGAAGGAGGAGTTGAGCATAGCACATGCAAATCTTACGTGGCATGCGCCCACTGGCCAACATCCACATGGTCATGCCCATCCCATCAAAGACACCCAAGTGGGTCCCACACCCCTGTCACATGGATTTGTTCTCACAGAGATCCAACGCTCCTGAAACCACTCCCAAAAGTTCACAGCATCTGAGCCGTCGGTTGATGGTCCACGTTTGTCACTGTCATTGGCTGTGTTTGTTGCCCCGCTGTCCCCTCTCATTTCGACAACCTGCTTTTTCCTGTCCTTCATGTGACAGACAGTCACATCTGTCATCCGCTTCCATCGTGTGGACTGGGCCCACTCTCCCATTGATGCCTTGTCAATCTGTGATTGGTGGGTGAAAAGAGCGTGTCACAGAAGAGACATGGTCGGTTAGGTTATCCCTCCTCGCTATGCGCAATTCATGCACCATGAGCATATGTCAGCTACATTTATCGTCCCTCACTAACACGTTCCTATAAAATTGACGAGCCACCACCTACTAACTCATGCACCACATCTTTTTTCAATCTTCAATCAATCTCTTCCTACCTCTATTTATATATATCTCTCTCTCCTTCCCATAACTCAGAATTTAGCATCTTTTCGATTCGGAATTGAAGTTCGTCATTTACATTTATAAAACACAGCGTGTGAACTAGTGAAGTAAGCGAGATCGAATTCAATGGGGAGCTATGAAATTGAGCTGAATCTTAGGGCCACAGAGTTGAGGTTGGGGTTGCCCGGGAGTGATGAACCTCAAGAGAAACGTCCATGCAGTGGCTCTGTTGTCAGAAACAGCAACAAGAGATCTTCACCAGAATTGGAAGAGTCCAGGTGCAAAAGCAACATCAACTCTGATTCTTCGGACTCCACAACCACAAGTGATCACAACGAAGACAGTGTCCAACCTGCAAAGTAAGCAACTTACATATTTATATTTACTTTTTTTATGTATGTATGTATGTAAATATATGGAATGAAAATTAATGATGAATACATGAATGGATGACAGGGTACAAGTAGTGGGGTGGCCACCGATTAGATCTTTTAGGAAGAACAGTCTACAACAGAAAAAGGTGGAGCAGGGCGATGGAACTGGAATGTACGTAAAAGTCAGCATGGCTGGTGCACCTTACTTGAGGAAGATAGATCTCAAGGTTTACCAAAGCTACCCAGAACTCCTCAAGGCCTTGCAAAATTTGTTCAAGTGCACATTTGGTAAGAACCAGCGGCAGATAACTTTTCTTTTTAGTTTTCCAATTGAGATATATGGAATCTTGAGCTAATGAATAATGATCCATGGTTCCAGGTGAATACTCAGAAAGGGAGGGATACAACGGATCTGAATACGCTCCTACTTATGAAGACAAGGATGGTGACTGGATGCTGGTTGGAGATGTTCCATGGAAGTAAGTCTTTTGTTCTATTTCTTTCTTTCATTTTATATTCATATGGTTGAATAGTTTTTATCATATCTCACTGAGTTTTTTGTTGTAAATTCGCCATCTCATAAGCTGTTTTGGTTTCATTAATTGCAGCATGTTCGTATTCTCCTGCAAGAGGCTGAGAATAATCAAAGGATCAGAAGCAAAGGGGTTGGGTTGTTTATGACCAGAGAAAATTTGCAAAGGAAAAAGAGGATAGTGATGAGGTCTTCAAAGACAATACCCTTTGTGCAAGCAAGTGCAAGGTGATTATGAGAAGAGAACTAATGCATAGTTTATCAGAAAAAAAAATAAAAAATAGACTCATGTTTTATGTATACATTAGTTTTCCTTTATTGATTTCAAGAGAGGCGGCTTTGAGGTCTGCTTCCTTATATATGTAGTCTTCTAATGAAATTCAACCGAAATGGAAAAAAATAGAAAGAGAAAGAAAATATAAGAAAAGCTAAAGCTGTATTGTACAGATCGAGAATATAATAATGATCTCATTTTGTCCCAGTAAGATATCTTTATGGGGGAGAAGTTATTCTTTTGATAAGGCTATATATCTTTCCGTTTGATTTTAGGTTGTAAATTTCGGAAATTTTGATTTTGTTCATGTTTTGAAAGTTTGAAGATAATTACTCGACTTTGGAACAATCATGGATGACACGAAAAAACAAAGAAAAAAAAATGTGACGTGTCGAATATTTCATAAGAATATTGAGAACTCCACCACCATTGTGAGTGGATGAGCACGAATATGAGATAGATTTCAAGTCAAAGGATTATAATTCTCTGTCCCAATATGTCAATCACGTATGGAGAATTCTTATATTATAAATGAAGAAATTCTTATATAGTTTAAAATTGCTGTGTTTATGGCCATAATTAATTTTTGCACTTTATATAACTAAAATTTACAATTTACCTAGAAAGAATCAATAACTAACTGCATAATATTGATCTATTATCTTCGGATTCAGATTTTTTACATTCGTTATTGTCTATTACTACTGTCACAATTATTGATCTCACACAGGTTACCATCACATTAATATACAAGACTCCAGAAAAGAAAAGAAAAGAAAAAACATTATTTTTAATTTTTAGAATTTCAGTCGACCATTAAAATTAATTATCAATTCTGATATTAGTTATGATTTTTTTTGGAGAGACCATTAAATTCAACATCAAACAAGACAGAGATTGATAATGTTTTAATTCAAAATTTTAAGAAAATTAAATTCATAGTATTTTTGTTTTTGTAAAATTTAACTTTTTGATTTTTATTCCATGTAAAACTTAAAATCAGACTTTGATAAACGTTTAGTTATGAATTTGATTTGAGAGATGCGTGCTACCCAGCTTTGGTGGAAGCTAAAAAGCTAGCCATTGTCAATACCTGAATAAAGTGGGAAGTGTATATATGTTCTCCGATATAAGAATGGGAAAAAAATGAACATTACATTACATTTAAAACCAAATGTTCTAAGCTCATTTAATTATGATAATGTTATAAAATTTTATAACTTTTCCACTAAGTTTTTAAATATTTTACAAAAATTAAAATGAGAAGTAAATATTTTTTTAAAGTACAATATTATTTAATACTTATCCAAAATAATGGAAGAAATAATAGAAAATTTTATAGGATTTAGAAATACACCTAATCTACATATATAGTGTCCTAAAATAATAATAATGGGGCTTGTCTGGACAATGGAACATCTTTTTATTTATTCATTATTGAGGAAACACGAGGACTAATTTGACAATCATACTTAATAACTAAGAAAATGTTATGCTAAACACTTTGGTTATTTTACACAATTTGGACATATAATAAAATAATAATATTTGTCTTCTTTATTACATCATATTAACTTATATTTAAAATAAAAGCATACTTAGTTATGCTAATATTACGAAGGAGGTAAAAAAATATTCTTCAAACTGGTCAGTGGGAAGGGTATGTTTTTTTTTTGGAGTTATTTTCAATGTTAAATAATTGTTATTATACGATATATAACTAAAGTTTTTAATTCATTCTAAATAATCAATAACTATATACTTTATTTTAGTTATTTTCAATGTTATTATAGTATGATATCTTTTGGTAAAATTTATAATAAAATAATAATAATAAACCTATGCGATTTATTCTCTATTTTTCATTTCTTTTTATTCACTAGATAACTTTCTTATTTATCTCTTTATTTCTACTCCTTTAAACATTGGTTTTTTCACCTTTTTATTTACTTTTACAAAAAAAAAGCATACTAATTTTATTTTAAATAATATTTTATTAGATTTACTTCGATTTCTTTTCTTAAAAGGGAAACTAACTAAATACAAAAGCTCAAAACCAAAAACATTTTTATATTAAATATTTGATTAGATTTGTGTTATTCTATTTATTTTCCGCAAATACATTCTTCTGGATACAATCTTATTATTCAAACAAGATTAAACATTAAATGTAAGCATTTCTTAAGAGACCATCACCAATTTCATGAAACCAATTCCTTTAATTAGAGGTGTTAAAACGGTAACACGGCTCAATCCGGGTTAGCTGACCACGAGTTGGTCATTTAGTGAGTCAACTTAACCCGACTCACTTATTAGCAAGTTGAAAAAATTTGAATCCGATCCAACCCACAACGGGTTGGTGGGTTAAAAGGGTTGACTCACTAACTCATTTAATTATAATTTTTTTTAAAATAAAAATTAGAACTTTTTTAGTTCAAATCTAAATAAACTTCACACTAAAATGATGTTAAACTTCCACAATTCAAAATAAATAAAAAAAGTATCATAAAATCCAAGCATAATCCAAAAACATGTACAAAAGGCAAAACAAATAAGTCTTTAATATTGATAATTTTTGTATCATTTGTCCATTTATAATATTAGAGTCTTGAATAGATAAATTTAAATTATTTTTCTCTCTTGAAACATTTTTTTCTTTATCACCACTACAGTATAATAATAAAAATGCTAACTAATAATATTGAAATACAAAATAATAAATAATTAAATTAAATTAGGTGGATTAGTGAGCCAACCCGGCTCACAACGGGTTCAACCCGGTGAGCTGGGTTCTAAGTGAGCCGAATTCTAGTAAGCCATGCTGAAAACTAACCTACATAAAAAAAATTATATTTTTTTTAAACTCAATTCGACTTAAACTCGTGATGAGTCGGATTGGCTTACGAGTTAGAATCTATTTTGATAATACTACTTTAATTGATTCAAGTATCGTTGGTTCAGAGTTCAAGTTTTAATAGTTAACATACTAATATAAAATCAGTAGCTTAGCATTTCAAATAAACTCTTAAATCACTGAAAAAGAACGCTTAGTTTCTGTTTGAATAGTGCTTATAAATTGTTATAAACTATATTAATATTTTTTGTCAACTCTCATGGATAAAAAGATATAAAATTAGAAATTATCAAACGTCATTAACTAAAATCATAAAATAAGAAATTTTAGAAAATTTAAAATAATTTGGTTTTGTTTTCAACACCGACTCTATCTTGAACCTCTCTTTTATAGTGATAAAGTAGGAAAAAGGATATGAAAGAAGGCGTTTTGCTATCAATCAGCGTCTATCATGGAAACTGATTGATTGTTTCAGATTTGGAATAATTTCAAATGTCATTTAAGGTTGAGCTTACAATGCCCTTCAGTTCAAGTTATCGTCCGTGTTGCGTAACCTCATATTATTGATCTTTCAAACTCAAAGTTGATCACACTTTCCATAAATATGCTAAGCCCATAAACTCATCAACCAAACCATATATAGGCAAGAGATAAATATTGATTTTATACTGATAATTTTTACAACTAGGAAAAAGAATAAATATATAATAAGTGATTGGTGAAGAAAATTATTGTCTTCAATTATAAGAAAAGTATTTAATTTCATCTTAATTTTTAAGTGATGTAAGAGTATAGAATATGGTAAAAATATAATTAATTTTTCTTTTTCCTATGATTTTATCGTTTTAAGCAGTCATTGAGTTAAATTGTAGTATCATGAAGCACGTCTCTCCCTTCTCTTTACGATTGCACAACAAATCCATTTTTGTAATAAGTTCAGTGGCATGCAGCAAATTATTTATCTCAAGAATTGAGCATAAATATTAAATAGTTTACCACAACTAAATATAAATTGCCTTTTTAAAAAAAAAAGAAATTGAAAATATGAAAGTTTAAAATTTGTTATTTAAAACTAAAGAATTTTACGTTCTACTTTAAAAAAAAAATATCTTCCTTTCATATCTATCATTATTTACTTTATCCTCAGCTTAACTTTATTGTCACTTTGGTTTCGATTAGAACATAATCAATTTAGTTTTAGTTGGGATATCTATTAGTTGTTAGTAAAACTATTTTCATCTTATTACTTATATATTTTTTTAACGATGTTTGTAACACTATTTTAATTGGATATAATTCTGAGTTGTTTTTATTAATCAAAGTCAGTATATGTTATTATAATATTATTGAAATTATTTTTCTATTTAAATCAATTATTTCTCAATCAATATTTGTCAAGAAAAATATACTTAATGTTGACATGAAGTTTTTCTATTAATGATATTTAGTTTATATTTTGATAATCACAATCAAACGACTTTTCAAAATTCTAGACAAGTACTCGCTTATTTTCCAAATTTAATATGCAATTTTCCTTATCATTAATGTCTCGTCTAAATCTTATAGGAAATACTTTAATAGAATAAAAGGAAAAAAAATTCTTTAAGAAAATGACTTTTCCATCAAGTAATTTTAATTAATAAACTTTTATTTTTTAAATTTCACATACTAAAAACTTGTCCATCTTAACGACAACTTATTAAATCGTCAGATTTTATTCATCTTGACGTTATCTTCTTAATTATTTTTATTCTTTAACAGAATGACCTCTTTATAAAAAAAATAAAAATAATGTGACGCGAAACCAATTTTACCTGTTTAAACTAGATGTCATTGTTAATCTTATTTAACCTAATATCTAAATATTATTCACATATAAATATTCTCTGTTTATTTTTATATGTATTATATTTATTAGTATAAATATTCGGTTAAGTTTATTAATAGTAATTAAAACGCCTTAACCACAATATCAATATTTCCTCATTAAATAGATATTATTAGAGTTAAATGAATAGAGTATCAACACCTGAAAACTGAGCAGAAAATAAGATGGGATATGAGTCATAAAGGAAGGAAGTAAGTGGTAAACTTAGATATTTCTGGTAATGTATATTTTTGAGAATTCTGGTTGGGTAATTGGTAACTTTAAGAGCATTAATTTGAGGAAAAACAATTTAATTATACTAATGCTATTAATATGATAAAAGCACTAATTGTTCATGCTTTGTCCAAGGGTTATATGAATAATTCTTTGTTAGATTTTTCTATCCTGAAGTTCATTAAAGTAAATGATCATGCTAGAAAAAAAAAAGTAAGCTGGATATATGGATTAAATGCATCCTTTTCTTAAACAATTTTTAATATGATACAAGTGATTTGGTGATTGGTAGACTTTAA